TGACCGTGATCATGCACGCATGAGTCACCGCGCTTACGTAATGACATCACGAGGCCTGTGTGGAGAAAGCGGAAGAAGAAGACGAAAACATCAGCAGCGGCTCTGAGGCGACTGGACGTTTCACGGAGCTCCCTTCATCAGCGGTTCTCCTTTGGTTGGTTTGTGTTTAAAGCTGCAGGTAACTTTAGAACCGAGTCACACCAAAATGTCGCTGTTCGGTAAGATATTCGGTAGCAATAGTAAGGGAGGGAAGGGACCGACTCCCCAAGAGGCTGTCCAGAAACTCAGGGACACGGAGGAGATGTTGGCCAAAAAACAAGAGTTTTTAGAGAAGAAGATCGAACATGAGCTCCTGACGGCGAAGAAGAACGGAACCAAAAACAAACGAGGTGAGTAAAACCTCCCTGACTGTTCGGCTTCAGCTGATAAACGGCCTGCCTGCTAGTTAGTCGGTAGCTGGGTTAGTTAGCCCGCTGGCTAACCTCCAGGGAAGTGACTCACCTCATGGGACTTCACCTTTAATTGCCTTGTTTGGAGCAAGAACGTTTTTTGTTTATTAACAAACCTCTTTGGTTGTTAATATAGTTTAACCCCTTCAGCCCAGAGGGTGTTAGAAAGCAAATGAGAATAAAAGCAAGTTCAGCTCTTAAACTATAAATTGGGAAAAAAGTTATTTGTATAACAGAAAGACATTGAGGAATATTTTTCAGGTGGAACCACTATTTTACATATAACCTGTCTGATTTATAGGTGATCAAAACCCCATGAAAGCCCATTTGAAACTCTGGTTGAACCCTCAGACTTTATAGATCCACACCTTGACTATAACTTAAGCTAATTTGGACTGAATAAGTTGATGCATGTTTGTTCCACAAAGGTTTCAGTGGGCAGAGTGCTAGGAGGAAATGGGATTTTAACACAGTGCCAAAAGTGGCCAAATTAAGCAGAAATGCATTTTTTCTACTCAAAAAGGAATCTGGTCAGACAAATATGCTGATTTAGATTATTGGAGACCTTCTGCATCAGGCAAAGCATTTGCTCCTAATATTTAGCTGCTATTTTATTGACATTTACCAATAATATCACCAAAATTTATAGAAAATAAGAATAACAGAGCAAGCTAATGTAACGCATATTAATAAACTGAAATGGTCACACAATGACCTCTGACCCCTTCTTGTAAAGGTCTGAGCCTCTAGTTTCCAATGATGGTGGCAATTAGGGGGCGGGTCTAAAATTAATAATGTTGTTGCATTCGCACTTTTCAGGTGGAATTTAAATCTCATTTTATTTTGTTTACGCAGCTATAAAACAAAAAGTATTTGTGGAAAAAATTATTTTCCAACATTTTTTTAGAAAACTTAAAGCCCCATTTGAAAGGCGTGTGGATGAAACACCATGTGACTGTGTTATGGCCATTTTTATAAATGGATAAACATCAGCTGGTGTTAGATGGTAACGAACCCGCCGGGTTTAAGGGGTTAAAACACCCAGATCATTTAAACCAGTTTATAAAGGAGCAGGAGGATCCCTGGAAGCTTGTTTAAGGTGTTAAAACATGACTTACAGTGGGGTAACCAACCTGTAAACATAACGCCCAGCCCTCAACTGTTCATAGTACTTTATTTCCTAGGATTGTCATATTTGGTTTCTAACTTAGAAAGTATGTTTCAGAATTGAGTTGTATTTCTGTACCCGTGTACCACGGGTGTGTTGTTATATCTAATACTTTAATTAACTCATGTTGCTTTTAGAAGTTGGTTTATTCCTGAAACCATTGCTGCTAAAAAGTTATTAAATCTATACTGGAATAACAAACCCTGAGGATTATCATCTCTGGTTTTTAGCAGCTAATATAAATTATAGTAACACTATTTTTGTGGGGCTTAAACTCAAGTAGGCCCACTTTAATATTTTTTAATTTCATATTCAGTCCATCTATTTTCTTTCCTGTAAATTTCAAACTTTTTTATTTATTTTTTTTTTTAGCTTTGTTGGTAATAGAACAGGCCTTTTATTTCCCTCATTTTCAATCTAAGTGCAGTGGAGTACGGAAGAGGATTAGGGCGAGCGGGAAAAAAAAAAGTGAACTGATTTTAAAATTTTATTTCAGTTTAGTATGGGAAAAAAGTCAGAATTCTGACTTTTTTTCTCAGAATTCTGACTGAATTCTGAGATTTAAGTCAGAATTCTGACTTTTTTTTTCCCATGATAAACTGAAATGAAATTTAAAAATCAGTTAACTTTTTTTTTTTTCAGTGGCCCTAATCCTCTTCCGTAGTGGAGCATTTATTTCCAAACATGAATTTTTTTGGCCGTTTCCTCAACCCCTCCTCCTGGCTGTTGATAAAGTAAAAGCGTGGAAGGGATGACAAACATACCAAACCTGTTCTGATCATATCGGACATGGTAATCCAGAACCTTGCTTTGTCTGCCTCCACCACACACAAACCTGTTTGATTGAAGGTATCTATTTTAGTCCAATGAGGGTAAAGAGGAAACCAGAGGACTGCGGCGTAACAGGAAGTTATGGAAACTGTCAGGACCGTGGTCATTGATCAGACACGTCCAACGATTTCTTTTCCCTTTTTTTGTCACCTTTGCTTCAAAGATAAATTTAATGGTTCCCAGATCGGTTCGATTTTCTCTCCCATCACGGTGACATAAAGGCAGACGGCCAACTGAATGAGTCATTTCTTGTCGATTTTCTTTCCAAGTTGCCGGAAACTTAAACCTTCTGTCTGATGGGAGCAGCGGGAATGTAAAGGCTATCTATAAACTATATCAGCATATCCACTGAAAGCAGGTTGTAAAGATAAAAATATGCTTTTTGAAAGGAACAGGAACATCAGACAACCATAAAGTAACCCCATGAGAGCTGATTGGCTGTTTCTCTGAGCTGCATAATCTGATAACGATTCATGTGACGTCAGATAATGTTGTTTTAGGAGAAGGAGCTGGGTCTGGATGCATGAATAATCCGATCAGACTGGAACTGCGAGCGGCCATCTGGCTCCCAGTGGAACACAGTGACCATAGTGGTGTAGCTCTGTGTTGTGTGAATTAAACATTAAACCAAACTTTGCTGGATTGTGAGTAGGAAAGGCTCATAATAAAACTCCTGCAGCTTGTGTCATGAAACTAATGTGTGTTGTTAAGAAGGTCAGGTATCCATTCAAACTCTAAGGCTGGACTTTATCTATACCCTGACTTATGTACGTTTTTAATAGTTATATGGGGCGACAGTGGCGTCGGATGTAGGAGTTTGCCCTGAAATCGAAGGATTGACGGTTCAAGCCCCAGTTCCGACTTTCATTGTCGTTGTGACCTTGAGCAAGACACTTCACCTGCATTGTCTACTGATGGTGGTCAGAGGGCCCGGTGGCGCCAGTGTACGGCAGCCCTGCTTCTGTCAGTGCGCCCCAGGGCAGCTGTGGCTACAATGTAGCTTGCCACCATCAGTGTGTGAGTGTATGGGTGAATGAATGTAGTGTACAGTGCTTTGGTCAAGTCTCCTGACTTGAAAAAGGCGCTATATAAGTGCATTAGGGTACAGCATTGATGTCTGCTGCATTCACTATGGAGTTATTTCCAAATTTGTGCAGAAAAAACTGCAACAAACTAAAATAAAACGAAAAAATCTGGTCAGGAATATGAACGTCTTATCAAGTTTGTTGGGAGCAGTGATGGTTATAAGGTTTTACATCTGCTGGAAGGAAGGACCTGCGGTGGCGCTGTTCTACACTAGGGTTGTGCAAGTCAATACTTTAACAATATAATTACAATTTAAAAAGAAAAGCACATTTTGGTCAAATACTATTTCACCAGATATAGCTTATAGATGAAGCTGAAGCGAATGGGGATCCAAATGGAGACTTTCTCAATCCAGCTATGTAGGTGGCAGTAAAATGCTTAACCTCTCCAAACCCACAGGGTCGCCTGCGACCCGTTTTAAAGCGTTTACAACTAATAAACCAGAATGCATGAACATTAATACGGTAAAATCTTTTACCAATATAGACATGTTAGACATCGTAGGAAAGCTTAGATTCTCCACAATTAAACCACCAAGTTCATTTTATGGACACAGCGAGCACCAAAACACAATTAAAACAGATATAGCCGCATGCCAAAACGTAAATATGACAAAGCAGCCACAAAAACATCCCTTTGAAGGCGTCCAGAAGCTGTTTTGTAAATCCAATCTTCAATTGTTTATACTCCATTCGTCCGTAAGGGTCCAAAGGTTAAAAGTAATCCAGCAAATTCATAATAAAAATATTCCATGATGAGAAAATCGCCCATAACGTCCGTTTATTGACATCCAAAAAGTTAGCTGGTCGTAGCTAATGCTTAGCATCTTGCAAATATTTACTTCATAATAATTGTTTCCTCGATGTTTGGTGTGTTTCTTAACATCGTCTTCTTACCAACAAGACAAACGTTTTTGCATCTTTGTATGACACGGTTGGAGTCCGGGTCAGCCACTGAAACGCTCCTTGACTGTCGGCCAATGATGCACCAAGTAGAGCGATATTACGCCTCATACAGTCCTGCTGTCATTGGTTAGGCCCCACAGCTCTGGAACTGTTGTAGCAAGAGGTCTGACATTTTCTGCATTTATATTTCTTTATTACTGATGTTAAAAAAAGACCTATTATTTTCAAGAAAAAAGAAAAAAAAAACTTTGAGTCATGTTTGAACTGATGCAGCTTGGGCTGTGTTCTACTCACCCAAAAAAGAAGGTGTCAGCTTTCAGATAATGTATTGCACGTTTAATTTGGGCTTAAAGTTCCTAAGTTATTTGCTTTTCCATTTGGGTAGGCAGAATAGGCAAGGATTACTTCAAAATGAGTGGATTGTTAGGTAGAGTGGAGGATTTTCATGAATTTTTAAGAAGCCCCGCACATGCACAACCCCGTACCTTCTCCCGAGAGGGAATGCTTAGTAAACACATGTGAGAGCGTGCACCAGCCCAATTCTCCCCGTGCACGCTCTGTTTGAAGGTTGCTGTTTGCATCACTCACACAAGCTTACTTCCTAAAGGAAGATTTGCGACTCCACCGGTTTTGTGCTGAGAAAAACCTGCCTGCCGAGAATTTCCTCCCCTGGCACAGGAGCATGCATCGCCTTAAACACACCCACATTTATGAGAAAATAGATTGAAATATCAATGGAAAGGGAAAATTTAAACATATTAATGTTTTGTCAGAAATTTTATAGAACGCTGTTGGATGAAAAAGCAGAAAATGTTATCCACTGAGCAGAGAATATATTTATTGGACACTGATTGTAGCACGTCCACTAAAATGTTTCTCCATACAGGTAAAAATAGTATTCATTCAGACACAGTTTTAGCGCATCCAGGCATAAGGAATATAAGAACTTAAGGTATATATTTAAAAGTTACCTTTTCGTTCATATTTCAACCCATTACCTCATCGGGGTGCGAGAGGGGCGGTAATTCTTAGAATAGGGTTAGGTTATAAGACTCAAACTCACTGCGGATCCAGACATTTGAATTGAGAAAGCTTCCTGGAGAGGTGGCGAAACGTCTTCAAATCTTGAAAACCAAGTCCAGTGGATATTTTTTGAACTTTTACGGAATGACTATGACCTGGGTGACTGAGAACCTTCATCAGCAAATAGGGTTAGGTGAAAATCTAAGGACAGAACCTCAGTAAACAACCACAGAGTTAAATATGGCCCCCCTGCTCTGATTCCACCTGTGAACAGCACCAGTGATTTTACTGCAGTCCAGTTGGTTAGTCAGTTAAACAGAATAACGACTGTCTGGATGTTCACCAGTATCACTATGGTGGCTCAGCGCCTCACTGGTCCTCCACCAGTTCATTAGTTTACAAAAAAACCTGCTTCAGATTCAAACCATTTGGTCACTTACATGTTTTTCTTCAGGTTTCAGTTAAACTGTGAGATTCAAAAACAGGCAGAAAAATATGGAAGCAAATTGTTACCATATTCCAAATGAAAAAGCATTTCCAGAAATGCCTTTTCATTTTAATAATTTGGCTGCATTGTTTGACTCATAAATGAAATTAGTAATCAATCATCCTGTTTGCATTTTCATTTTCTTCTTTAACACTGCTCATCCTTTTACTTAATTAAAAAGAAAAAGACATTTGAGATTTATTTTTCCAAATGTACCCCAGCAAATACATACCAAAATTCAATTTGAAATGTAAAATTTGAAAATGATAAAGCATTTCCAGAAATGCGTCTTTATTTTAAGAATGTGGCTGCATTATTTGACTCATAAATGAAATAAGTAATCAATCATCCTATCTGCATTTTCTTCTTTAACACTGAACATTTTATGCCATAATCAAAGAGAAAACACAGCGGACTTTGCTTTTTTGTTTCCGTGGTCTGCCAGCAAAGTACTGTAAATAACTCGAAAACGAAAAAACCTTCTGAGTCAAACAATGCAGCCACGTTCTTAAAATGAAAAAGCATTTCTAAAATGCTTTTTCATTTGAAATATGGTAACGATTCGCTTCCATAGAAAAAAGTGAGCAGATATAAGAAGAGACAAATGGGCCAGGATGGATGGGTGGATGATGGATGGGTGCCCGAGCAACCTCAGTGTTTTGAATCTGTTCTTTAAATAAAGTTATAGAAATATATTTAAAATTCCAGTATTCTGCTTGTTTAGGCCTTTCAAAGTGACCTATATGGTCATCAGGGCTCCCTCCGTTTCATGACGTCGTCATAATTAACCTCTCCTGAACAAAGCCTGAGACTGAAGGTCAAAAAGCAGATTTTCATGATATTACCTATAAAGAGAGGTTGCTGTCATTGCTAAAGGAACAGTTCCTATAATCTTAAATCTGTTTAAATTAGACAGAATATGTGAAAAATGTGCCTAATTGTGATAAACAAGCAGCTTTTAGGTAGATTTAAAAAAAAAAAACTTGAAACATTTTTTGTTGCTTGTGTCAGTTTAATATCAGTGGTGTTGTGATCTTAAACTACAGTAACCTGTATTGTTGTCAGCTTTTGGAAAAAAATCCTGAATTTTACTACGATGCAAATATTTTATCTTTAGTATTTTCATTCCTGCTGGTCGTTGGCCGGCTGGGATCAGACGCATGTTTAACTCTGTGTATTCCTGCAGAATATTCACCAATGATCGCATTGTAATAAGTTTAAATGTTCTGATTCATTCACTGATTAAAAAAGAAAGATCAAATGTAATTAAACACGCTGTTTCTGCAGGGTTAAATGAAACCCAAAGATTGGACGGTAGATAAAGTTAACAAACAGAGTTTGACTTGCTAGTATATTTTCTTTAATTTTTCAAATCTGTATGGCTATGCTTGGGCAGCTGGGGCGGCATCTTTATAAAGGAGGGCGGGACGCGCGCTGCGAAAAAAATATAACTGCAACTGACCATCTATGAGCGTGACGCATTCTTCCTGTCGCTTGGTTACGGCTGTAAACAGTTTGTCTCTCTATGGCGCTGGGTTACGTTCGGTATGAAAGTACAGCTGTGGAATGATCTGATAAACTGACAGATCTTTTTGTTGTTGTGGTTTTCTCTCTCTCTCTGTGTCTATATAAGACTGTGGTGAGCCCAAACAGGACTGTGGCTGGCCATTAATGATGTCATTAATGGGAAACCATGATTTTACCATAAATGGATATATAGAGATGTTGTTTTGCTCCACCTTATTCCAAAAAAGGTTAAAAATCAATCCACTGTACTTTGTGTTTGTTTGAATACGTTTTGCTTCCCATCCACAAAGCTTTTTCTATTAAAAATGTCAGAAATAGCATTGAGTTCAATTCAGTTCAATTTATTCACATCATGTCATCTCAGGTCACTTTCCAGTTCACCAGATCATCCAGTTAGATTGATTCAAAGTTTTCTATCTAAGGAAAACCAGCTGATTGCATCGACTCATTGACTCTTCAGCAATCCCTCACACT